GCCTGTCCCCCCGCCCCCCACTCCACTCTGAGGTCCTGGAGGGCAGGGTCTGAATCTTATTTATCTCGGCATCCTCGGGGTTTGGCCCTGTATCTGGTATACAGCAAGTGCTCCATAAATGTATCTTGACTGACTTGAATTAATGGTAATAATTTAGCCTTTTACTGCTTGCCCTGTGCCAGGTACTCTTTTACCTTTTCTGACGTGGAATTTCTCATTGCCTCTTGAGGATCACCCAAGGTGGGAGGTGCTATTATTCGCCCATTTTCCAGGTATGGAAACTGAGGCTCAGACGTGCCAAGGAAGAACGGGGGCTTGAAGATGGCAGGGCTGAGTAAGTGAGGAACTGAGTAACTGTCAGCGGACCCCCCTCTTATGGGGAGCCCTCCCCAGCGGCCCCAGCCCCTCTGGGGTCCCCTTCCCTTCTCGGGAAGAGTCATAGGTTTTGAAGCCTGTACATGTTCTGAGCTCAGCAGATGGCCTGCACGCCAGGAGCATGCAGGGAGCATCTGCCCCATGGCCAACTTCCCCTCAAGGCTCAGAGCAGGACCTGGAGGCGGCAGGGTAACCCCACCCCCACCCCCACCAAATGGGGACCAGCTGAGCCCTGCACCTCACTTGCTCCCAACATGAACCCTCAGACCCTATCTGGCCCAGACAGCCGGCTAGCTAATAACTTCCTCATGGCTCCGGTTTACTGACCCTCCCTGCCAACCTGAGTGGAGCTAGGTGCTCAGATAAACCCAGAGACCCCCTTCGGTGGCCCCAGGTCACCCCCTGAGAACCCCATCCTGACCCAGTGGAGGGCCCAGGACCCTGACACTGGGTGGGGCTAGAGGCTCCAAGATAGAAAAGCCATAGGATCGCATCTGAGGCTCTCGGGGAACTGAGATGGGGAGACAGAGGCCCAGAGAAGGCGAGGGGCAGGCCCAAAGGCACACAGCAAGTTCCCAGGCTGGAGAAGGAAGTCAGGTTTCCAACACCTTGACCGCAGGTCCCCTTGAGTGCCTGGGCCAGACGCCCCGCTTCATTACACGAGTGATGCACTGACCTCATGGTGACCGGGGGGATTCGGAGATGAGGTAGGAATGGCGCCAGGCCGTGGAGTGGCTTTTCCAAGGAAGCCGGGCCTCTCAGTGAAAGTGCCATTCATTGAGGCTGACTCTGGACAAAGTGGCTCAGATGGCAAAAACAAAAGATAATTCCAGGGCAGAGGAAGAGGCAACACTGCTCAGGGCTCATTGTTAGGGAGCTGGTCAGTGCTTTCCTCACAGGCCCTCCTCGGAGCCCCTCGGGCCGGCGCTGCCGTTGTCTGCTTTCAGAGGAGGAAACAGAGGCTCAGAGACGCACAGTGATTTGCCCCAGGACACACAGACGACACACAGACGATAGTGTCAGAGCTGGGGTTTGAACCTTCTTCTGTGTGACCCAAGTGTTCTATCTATCTATCTATCATCTATCTATCTATCTATCTATCTATCTATCTATCTATCTATCTATCTATCTATCTATCTATCTATCTATCTATCTATCTATCTATCTATCTATCTATCTATCTATCTATCTATCTATCTATCTATCTATCTATCTATCTATCTATCTATCTATCTATCTATCTATCTATCTATCTATCTATCTATCTATCTATCTATCTATCTATCTATCTATCTATCTATCTCGGGCCCGGGGCTGGCCTCACGCCCCCTGGTTGGCATCACTTGTCAGCTGGGAAAAGATCTGAGATGCTACATGAACTGCAGGAGCCTTCTCAGCCCCCCTCTCACGGGCACTTGTAGCAAAGGTCCTACTCAGCTTTGATCTCGGGGTCTAAGCCACAGCAGTCCCCACCCTGCCTCTGCCTGCAGTCAAGCCCCAGGAGAGACCCCTCGTGGTGGCAGCTGAGCTTCTCACCACAGACCTCAGCCATGACCGGCGGTGGCTGAAGCCCAGGGCTTTCCCAGGGGCCGACTGTGGAGTCCCCTCGCTGCAGGTCTGCAGACGGCAAAGCAGGGAGGCCGGTTAGGCTGGATTAAAATCTGGGCTCCATCTCGGCTCTTCGGGCCCTCACTCTCCCCATCTGTAAATTGGGGGCATGCTGGGGAGGGGACATCTGGGAGCAGCCGAATTGCTACCCCAGCAGAGCTCCAGAGCCAGCCAGCATTTCCCCACAAAAGTCAACAAATGATGATCCTCACCCGAGATGTGCATTTGCTCACTATCTCCCGCCACCTCCAGGACAGGCCGACTTTTATACCTCGGTGGGTGAAATCTCCTAAAGTCTGATCGCCAAGGAATCTAGGAACACACACACACACACACACACACACACTCACACGCATACATACATGCACACACATGCACACTCACATGCATACATACATGCACACATGCACAGCAGAGAGCTGGAAAGAGAAAAGTGCTCCCTGCCCTGAAGCCTTGGGGTGAGGGGGACAGAGGACAGAGAAAGAGGCCACACAAACTATCTCTGGCTCTCAAAGTCTGAGACCCCAACTCTCAGAGGCCCCCATACCCCATCACCCCTCGTGGCCCCCCAGGAAATATGCAGGCAACGTGTGGGAGCTGGCTGGGCCTCTCAGGTGATTGCTGTGTGACCCTGCTCTCAGAAATCCCCACTGTGTCCCGGTGTCATCTCCGGGCCTCGGTTTCCACGTCTGTAGAGTGGGGATAAGGCCGCCTCCCGGGACCATTGTCAGGGCCAGACCGCAGCGCCCAGAGCTCAGTAGGTGTCAGTGAGTGGGCGCCACATGGAGGGGAGGACCCCCCCCCCTC